TCATGGACATCGCCCGTACGTCCATGGTGCATGCGACTACCCCCCATTTTCTGTGGCCGTTTGCGGTTCGGTACGCGGCGCATCAGATCAACCTTCAACCCAGGGTCTCCTTGCCGGAGATCTCCCCAGCATTGCTGTGGACGGGGAAGGTTGGCGATGCGTCTGCATTCCGTGTCTGGGGATCTTGGGCGTTTGATCGCGACTTGTCTGCGGACACGCTGTCCCCTCGTGCTGCTCCCTGCGTCTTCCTTGGCTTCCTCCCTGACGCGCCAAGGTGGCAGTTCTACCACCCCACCTCTCGCTGTGTTCTGTCCTCCCAGGACGTCGCGTTTGACGAGGCGGTCCCCTACTACTGTCTCTTCCCCTACCGCACTCCGTCCCTCCCCCCGCCACCGCTCTTCCTTATGCCAGGTCCCCCCCCGGTAGACCCCCTTCCCCCTCAGGGTCCTGCCCCTTCAGCTGTATCCCAGGTAGACGCAGTCGAGCCTGTGGAGGTCGCTGGTGACTCTGGTGCTGCTGGGGGTGCTGAACCTGGGGGTGCTGACTCTGGGGGTGCTGAGCGTGTGGGTGCTACGCCTGGGGGTGCTGAGCCTGAGGGTGATGCGACTGGGGGTGGTGAGCCTAGGGATGTTGAGTCTGGGGGTACTGAGCCTGGGGGTGCTACGACTAGTGGTGCTTAGCCTGGGGATGCTACGTCTGGAGGTGCTGAGCCTAGGGGTGCGGACCTTGAGGGAGCTGGGCCTACTCGTGTGGCGTCTGGCGGTGCTGGGCGGGGGCCACTCTCTCCACAGGAGGTGCGTAAGTGGTTTTGCCCGGCGCTGGAGGCGTGCTGCTGGAGCTGGAGGTTCTTCGGCTGCTGAGGGTGCTAGTGTCACGGGTCCTGGAGGTGCTCGTAATGGGAGTACTAGAGCTGCTGGGCCTGCGGGTACTACTGGAGCTGGAGCCACTGCGCCTTCTCGTGGTCTGACTGGAGCTGGAGCTGCTGGGGGTGTTGGCGTTGACGTTACTGGAGGCGGTCCTTCTGGAGGTGCTACTGGTGCTGCTGGAGGTCCTGGAGCTACTAGAGCTGCTGGGGGTACTGGAGCTGGAGGTGCTACTTGCGCTGGTGCTACCGCCGGGGATGGTGGTGCTGTCCCTGCTGTGTCTGGAGTCTCTGCGCGGCCTCGGCCGTACTTCGTTCCGTTCCTTGGTCTCCCGCCTTCTACTGGTCCTCCTCCTCCCTTCGAGTGTCGACAGCCAGTCCCGTCACAGTTACAGTTACAGCCGGCCTCCCCACTGCCTGCTCCTTCTCCCTACACTGGTCCTACTGGAGGTCTTGCTGAGCGTTGTGAGCCTGCATCTCGTCTTGCGTCGCCTGTCCGTGCGGCTCGCGCTAGTGGTCGTGGTTCGCGTCCGCGTCCTCCCCCTGTGCCCGGCACGCACCGAATGTCTCTTCGTCCGTCCACTGCTCCTCTGCGTGCCCCTTTGCCTTCTCCTCCTGAGTCCTCTCTTCCTGCTCTTGCTGACCCGGAGTCGGACTCTCTTCGTGCTGCCAGTCCGACTGTCACAAGCATCCTTGCTACGGCTGTCGTTTACCCTTCCTTTGAGTCCACTGCTGCGTCTGCCCTAGTTGCTGAGCTCGTCGACTTTGTTGCTCGCTGTCGTCTAGACTACGCTGCTAGTCTTGTTGCTGAGTCTAAGTCTGTCTGTCCTCCGTCCATCGGGGGTGAGTGTGCCCTTGGCACGGACGTCCTTGAGGTCAGGCAGGAGGAGTTGCAGTGTTTGGCTCCTGCTTCACCTCATCTCGTATTCGTACTGCTTACCCCTGAGGGAGACCCGGATGCACTTGACATCCCGACTCCGCGCTCCTATGCGGAGGCGATAGAGGGTCCCTAATCCTCTCAGTGGCAGGCAGCTACGGACGCAGAGATGGCTTCCTGGAAGTCCACAGGCACCTATGTTGACGAGGTTCCCCCGCCTAGGGCGAACATCGTTAGTGGCATGTGGATTTTCAGGGTGAAGCGGCCGCCGGGTTCTCCGCCTGTCTTCAAGGCGCGTTACGTGGCTCGTGGCTTTAGTCAGCGGCAGGGAGTTGACTACTTTCAGACCTTCTCTCCCACCCCAAAGATGACCACTCTTCGGGTACTGCTGTACGTTGCTGCTCACCGTGACTACGAGCTGCACTCTCTTGACTTCAGCACTGCTTTCTTGCAGGGCAGCCTGCACGAGGAGTTCTGGATGCGCCGCCCTCTTGGCTTCACTAGGAATTTTCCTCCTGGCACCCAGTGGAGCCTCCGGCGGCCAGTCTACGGTCTCCGCCAGGCACCGCGTGAGTGACAGGACACACTGAGGACTACACTTGCGGCTCTTGGGTTTGCTCCCTCTGCTGCCAACCCGTCGCTGCTTCTGCGCACCGACACTTCTTTGCCGCCGTTCTACATCCTCGTGTACGTCGACGACTTGGTCTTAGCCACACCTGACAGTGCTGGACTCGCCCACGTGAAGTCCAAGCTGAAGAAGAGACACACGTACACAGACCTGGATGAACTGCGCAGCTACCTTGACTTGTAGATCACCCGGGACAGAGCACGCCGCACCATTACCCTGACTCAGTCACACATGGTGCAGCAGGTCCTTCAGCGCTTCGGCTTCACGTACTCCTCGCCTCATGCCACTCCTCTGACTACTCGCCACTCGCTCTGAGCTCTGCCTTCGGATGAGTTCGTAGAGTCGAGTGGCCTGTAACCAGAGCTTGTTGGCTGCCTCATGTACCTGATGACCTGCACACGACTTGACCTTGCATACCCTTTTAGCATTCTCGCACGCTATGTTGCTCCTTGGAGACACAGACCGGAGCACATGGCTGCAGCGAAGAGGGTGTTGCGCTACTTGTGCAGTACGTCGGGCATGGGGCTAGTGCTTGGAGGGCCGAGTCCAGTGGTCCTCACTGGGCACGCAGACGCTTCTTGGGCTGACGACCAGGCTACGCAGCGGTCGTCACAGGGTTACACCTTCATCCTTGGTTCCGGCTCTGTTTCGTGGCGGGCTACCCGCTCGTCTTCTGTTCTCGGCTCCAGTTGTGAGGCTGAGATCTACGCAGGGGCCATGGCTGCACAGGAGCTTTGCTAGATCACCTACCTGCTGAGTGACCTCGGAGAGCCGCCTCGTTCTCCTCCAGTCCTGTACGTAGACAACTAGGCCATGCTGGCCTTGTGTTCGGAGCAGAGACTGGAGCACAGAACGAAGCACATTGCTCTTCGCTACTTCCTTGCTCGTGAGCTTTAGCAGCGTTGCCAGCTGCGTCTTGCGTACGTGGCCTCTTAGGCCAACACTGCTGATATCTTCACCAAGGTACTTGCGCCTTGTGATCATCAACGCTTCTGTACTCAGTTGGGTCTTGTGCCTACCTTGCCTCACTTGCTCACCCCTTGACCTTGTTTGTACTGTTAAATATATATATACACCTGCTCTTGCTTGTTTAGCCTTATATATATATGTATGTAATCGTGCATGTGAACTGGCCTTGTGGCCTTGAACTTGTGCTCGGAATGTGTGGTGACGCTGTGATCCACCCTGAGCTTGCTTTGCTTTGCTTGACTGGTCTTGTGACCCCTTGTTCTCCCCCACTTTGATTATGGGGGTGTGTCAGATTTATATGACTTAGCTGCTGTAGGATATAGTGGGGTAGCACATATGGGGTACAGCTTTCTAGGGTTTGTACTTGTTCCCAACTTTTCCTTAGTCATTTTTCATTCTCGTTCAATTTCTCACTCTTATTCTTTTCTCCCCTTTTCACTTTCCTTTTCCCTACCCTTCCTATTCATCTCTTTCTCTTCCCCCTTTTCTTCCTTTTGATACCTCTCCTTGAGCTGTGTATTACATGTTGTATTATTGAAATGAGGATTACATGCTGTATTATTAAAAGGTGGATACATTTTGGTTCTAAATGAGTGGCACATGCTTGATATCTATGTTGAGCCATTGAAGTAAATCTGAAGTTGTTCTCGAACATGTGAGGTCTCTCACATTTAGAAGGGTAGTAGGGCTACCGTAGTCCCTAAACTCCAGGGTATTTACAGGATAAGTACTTCAAAACCGGAAAAGTGCTTCAGAACAAGCCGACAAGGAGCATCATCCTTCCGTAGTCCTATTTCTATTCCTTAGCCGGGTTCGCTTCCATTGTCCCACTGAAAAATGCGTCGCCGCCGAAGCTGTGTGTGGGTTCAAATCGACGGAAGCAATCCCACCTGATCTCTACACTCATCGCTGCGGAGCAGCGCCAGCGAGTCGCCCCCGGCATTGACCAACTGCTGTACATGTATTTACTGAACACATAGCCCATTCCATCGCCATATTTTGCGGACTCCCGCCCCCCCCAAACCAGGTTTCCGGACCGCCCTAAAATCACTTTTCGAGCCCACGTTTCGAGACTAGGTTGATGCGCATTGCAGACGCAGTTGTCTCTAAGGTCAGGTCAGGATGATTTCTCTTGTTTAAACTAACAAATCCAACCAACGAGACGTGGGGCTGTGCAGTGCGCCCGCATTTGTCTCAGGACGACGAGACGATCAGCATTGAGGTGGCGCATGAGAGGGAAGGCATGATATATGAGTCGCCGAGAACGCCACGTAGGCACGCGCAAGGCCACGTAAGCGCGCGCAAAGCCACGTAGGCGCGCGGAAGGCCACGTTGGCGCCATGAAAGCCATGTAGGCGCGCGGAAGGCGAGTGGGCGCGCGGAAGGCAGAGGCACGCGTAGGGGGCGGAAGGCAAGTTCACCAGCCGCAGCCATAGTAGCTTCATCACTATTTAAAACCCCCGTTCTACGCACCAACCATGCCCTCATATCAATCCCCGTCCCCTCATACCATTCCACTTTTCGAGCTCCAAGCATCTACCGCAGAGCATTAGCCACACCGCCGTGGGGGTGTGTTCCCTGAATCTCGCGTGACGTGAGAGCCACCTGGCCCGTCGTTCCCGCGGGAACTAGTTGTGGCGGTGCGGCATTCGTCTCGTCTCGAGATGGCTCGCACCATCGGGATCGCCGCCGTCGCTCGGCCCGTCGTGACGCCGACTCGCCGCTTCGTGTCCCTCGTGGGTTCCGCCGCGGCGCTTCTGCTCCTCGCAAACGCCGCCCTGCCGGCGCTCGCGGATTCGACTCAGATGGCGGCTGCGAGCCGTCGGGTCCTGAAAGCCGCCGCGCCCGTTGCAGCACCCGCGCCCGTAGCAGGGACCGGGGCACCCGCGGTCGGCGCGCCACTGCCGCTGCCGGCGCCGCTCGATCAGTACTACGACGACGACTACATGCAGAACTACACCATGGAGCAAGTGATCGTAGCCGTGTCGCCTCAGGCGGCGCCGGGCGCAACGCCATCCCCGCCGCGATCCTTGCGGTTGAAGGTTCCGTACACAATCAAGTTCGCGAACGTGTCCAAGTCGTACTACATTCTTAACTACCTCGCTAACTCGGTGTGCAAGTTCCCGGCTGGGCCGACGATTTTCCTTCCGACGAATCAGGCGTGGAGCAACGCGTTCGAGGGGTACAAGAAGAGCCGCAGCAGCGGCGCGCTTTACAAAGCGCTCGACGCGGTCGCGAGCGATCGGATCAAGAAGGCATTCGTTTGGGCGGGGCGTAAGATAAACAGCACTGAGCTGTCGGTTCTGGCAGACAAGGCGAAATCGTGCAAAACGCTCACGTCGCATCCGATCAGGGAGGCCGCGCGGACCGCGCTCTACAACCTGATGTCGTTCCACACGGCGGCTTCGCGGGTTACGATCTTGAATCTGGATAACCAGGTACGGTATGCTTGCGATGCGAACCACCATCGGTTCGTTGTTGAAAATAAAATTCAGATCAGTGTGTGCACATGTCATGTTTGTGCGTGTATATGATGGTGTGTTTTGTGTCTCCCGCTCGATTCCCTCATGCTCTCGTTGTCATTCATGTGCTTCTTAAAACCTTGTGATGATGCCGCAGCTTTAAGTGAGAGCTCGTATTAAAGTGACGCTACCTCTATTGCTGCTGCTACTTGTTTAGTAGCATGGTACCGACTCTTAGTGCCTAGCGCACTTGTTTTCTTCTGTTGCTCACACCCCCGACCCTCAACGTACAGTGTACCGCCTCTGGCACTTCTGTCAAGACCGCGTTCAATGGCAACAATCTGAACTTCAAGTGCAACAGCACCGACGCTGGGTTCATTTCCGCCTCGGACCCCCTTGCATCCGACGTGGCTGTTGGTACTCCGTCTGCTGTGGCAATGATCGACGAGCCGCAGAAGGATTATTTCTACGTCAACGTGGTTGTGTTCCCCAGCAACATTTCCTCACTGCCTGGTATGCCTTTTGAGATTTGCGAGCAAAGCTTCGAAATCAGTATATTCGGCGACGCATTATGGGTCTACTTCTGTTTAAAAATGATTGGTTATTCTTTATTTCCTGTATAATCCATCAATGGACTTGCCATTCCCTGCATCATGCACCATGCCTCATGGTGGAAGATACATGCAGCCACACCTTCTACATGGCCCCAGGTTCTCATCGATTGTTCCTCTCCTTTCTCCCATTTCTCCTCACCCTCACTCCCATTTCTCCTCTCCCCCATTCCCATTTCGCATCCCCCTCACTCCCAACCCTCCATTTCCGCACTGCCATCCCTTCCCTTCTCTTTCCTGCCCCCCTAATTCCCATTCTTCATCCTTTTATTCCCATATCTCCACCCCCTCACTCCTATTTATCCACCCCCTCACTCCCATCTCTCCCCCCTCTCTCTCCCGTTTCTCCTCCCCCTCTCTCCCGTTTCTCCTCCCCCTCTCCCGTTTCTCCTCCCCCTCACTCTCATTTGTCCTCCCCCTCACTTCCATTTCTCCTCCCCCTGGCTCCCATTTCTCCTCCCCCCCGCTTCCATTTCTCCACCCCCTCACTCCCATCTCTTTACCCCTTTGCCCCTATTCCTCACCTCCCCTTTTTCTTTTTGGATGCCAGGGGCCATTGTCACTGTCCCATATCTCTTCACAGAGTTGCATGCATAGCCACACATTCAATGACCACGTTTCCACTTCTCATACCTATCCTTGTTCCCATTTCTCTTCCATGCCAGGGGCCATTGTCATTGTCTCACGTCTCTTCACTGCACTGCATAACCACACATTCACTCACCACCTTTCCACTATTCGTTCCTCTCCTTGTTCCCATTTCTCTTCCTCTCCTTCTCAAACTACAGGTGCCGTTGCCACTGTCTCGCGTCTCCTCACTGCTCTGCTGGTCTTCGCCTCTGCTCTTGCCTGTGCTCTCTAGTCCATCCAGATTGCATGAGTAAAATAGCCCATCTCCCTTTCATTCCCATCTCTACCCCTCACTGTCATTCCCTTTTCTTTCGGATGACAGGTGCCACTGCCACTGTCTCGCGCCTCCTCACTGCTCTGCTGGTCTTCGCCTCTGCTCTTGCCTATGCTCTCTAGACACCAAGAGACTAGAAACCCTCTCGCTCCACTGCCCACGAGTCTTGACGCCATGGGAAGAGGACGCACATGTGGTCGACGGTCCATGTTGGATCCAGTGTGCATCCTAGCCGTTGATTGATTGTGCAATGAGCATTTCTACCCTGAGATCTGGAAGGCTATGTCCTCTGTTTTGCGGTAGATGCGTTTTTGGGCAATGAAAGTAGAGTGTATGGTGGGGTGGGATTTATTAAAGCCCGAGTACAGCATGGTAATTTTCAAGTTCAAGATTCTTGTTTTGAGAAAATTCTCAGGGTTACCCTACTTGTTTTAAGAAAATTCTCGCGACCCCAGGCAATCGTCCTGCGACAACGGAACCCGAGTGCCCAAAACCAGAACTGACGCGATGATCGCCAACCATTTGTACTATTCACCACTCACATACCGTAACTTGCTTACCAAGTAGTACTCGTAGGCTAGGAGGCTCCAAGGCAAAAACTAGTGCTAGTTGGCAAAAGCGAGTCGTTGATAGGTGATTTTTTTTTGTGCGGAAGGAAATATAAGTCCACCTCAACCATCTTAGTCAGTGCACGCTCTAATCTCTCCCTCACGTCACCGGTCTCGTGTTACAACCCGTACACCCACGGCACTTACGTTAGTAAACGAGATTCGCGTTACTCGAGTCTTGCATTCAAGCTCACATCGCACACGCAGGATCTTGTCACACTTGCTGCCATTCAACCTCGTGTCACGATCGTACTGTTTTAGGCACGGGTCGCTCACGCGAATGCCGTACTGGTTCGCGTAACGCACTCAGCCGTTAGTCGCACATGTTCCTCCTCGTCGGCCGCTCTTGCCCACGTGAGACCGCTTTCCTCGTCGCCCGCACTTTCCCTCATTACCCTCCCCGACCCTCTGGTCGCATATGTTCCCGTAGTTGCCCACGCTCTCCCACGTTAACCACACATCCCCTCGTCGCAATTGCTAGTAGTAAACATACCGCACTTCAGATCGTCACCCGCGCTCCCCTCATCACCCTCGTCGACCCACACCGATCCTCGCCGCCCTCACCTCCCTTGGTCACCGACATTCCCTCTCGTCGCTCGCGCTTCCCCTCATCACCCGTGACGACCCTCGCCGCCCCCGCCTCCCCTCGTCGCCCGCGCGTCCCGTCGTCGGGCTTGCCTCCCAGTCACTCGCGCTTCCCCTCGTCATCCGCGTTTCCATCCACTCTTCCCCTCTCCCCATCTCACTATCTCCAGCCCATCCTTCCTCCCTCATTCCTTCCAAAGGGGTGGGACAGATGGGGAGAAACAGAGGTGGTCGCTTCCGCCACCACAATCGAACAGCGTTTTGATTCCCTCTCTGCTCCCCACCATCCTCCCCCCAGCTCTCTCCCCGGCATCTGCCCCCGTTCCCCCCATCCTCTTCCCTGTTTCCCCGTATCCCCTGCCGTGCTTCCCCCCATCCTATCCCCTCTTACCCCGTATCCCCTGCCCTGCTTCCCCCCTTCCCCTTCCCTGCTTCCCCCCATCCCCTTCGCAAATTCCCCCCATCCCCTTCCCTGCTTCCCCTCATCCCCTTCCCTGCTTCCCCTCGTCCCCTCCCCTGCTTTCCCCCATCCCCTTCCCTGCTTCCCTCCATCCCCTTCCCTGCTTTCCCCCATCCCCTGCCCTGCTTCCCCCCATCCCCCTCCCTGCTTCCCCCCATCCCCTTCCCTGCTTCCCCCCTTCTCTTTCCCTGCTTCACCCCATCCCCTCCCCTGCTTTCCCCCATCCCGTCCCGTGCTTCCCCCCATCCCCTTCCTTGCTTCACCCAATCCCCTTCCCTGCTTCACCCCAACCCCTTCCCTGATTCCCCCCATCCCCTTCCTTGCTTCCCCTCATCCCCTCCCCTGCTTCCCCCCATCCCCTCCCTGCTTCCCCCCATCACCTTCCCTGCTTCCCCCCATCCCCTCCCTTGCTTCCCCCCATCCCCCTCCCTGTTTCCCCCCATCCCCTTCCCTTCTCCCTGTGAACTTGAGAACGAGAATGAATTAACTATGAAATAGCTGCGTACAAGTACAAACCCTTCTTGGGTTGTACCCCATATGGGCTACCCCACTACAGCCTACACAAATGTATAAGCTACAATGTTTTGACACACCCCCATAGGCAAAGTGGGGGAGAACAAGGGATCACAAGACCAGTCAAGCAAAGCAAAGCAAAGCAAGCTCAGGGTGGATCACAAAGTCACCACACATTCCGAGCACAAGTTCAAGGCCACAAGGCCAGTTCACATGCAGGAGTACATGTATATATATAAAAGGCTAGACAAGCAAGAGCAGGTGCATATATATATGTAACAGTACAAGCAAGGTCAAGAGGTGAGCAAGTGAGGCAAGACAGGCACAAGACCCAGCTGAGTACAGAACTGCTGATGATCACAAGGCGCAAGTGCCTTGGTGAAGATATCAGCAGTGTTGGCCTCAGAGGCCACGTACGGAAGTCGCCGCTGACCACTCTGCTGTAGCTCACGAGCAAGGAAGTAGCGGAGAGCAATGTGCTTTGTTCTGTGCTCCAACCTCTGCTCTCGACACAAGGCCGGCATGGCCTTGTTGTCTACGTACAGGACTGGAGGAGAACGAGGCGGCTCTCCGAGGTTAGTCAGCAGGTAGGTGAGCCAACGTAGCTCCTGTGCAGCCATAGCTCCTGCGTAGATCTCAGCCTTACAACTGGAGCCGAGAACAGAAGACGAGCGGGTAGCCCGCCACGAAACAGAGCCGGATTCAAGGCTGAAGGTGTAACCCTATGACGACCGCCGCGTAGCCTGGTCGTCATCCCAAGAAGCGTCTGCGTGCCCAGTGAGGACCACTGGACTCCGCCCTCCAAGCACAAGCCCCATGCCCGACGTACTGCACAAGTAACGCAACACCCTCTTCGCTGCAGCCATGTGCTCCGGTCTCTGTCTCCCAAGAGCAACATAGCATGCGAGAATGCTAAGAGGGTATGCAAGGTCAGGTCGAGTGCAGGTCATCAGGTACATGAGCCAGCCAACAAGCTCTGGGTATGGGCCACTCGACTCTACGGACTCATCCGAAGGCAGAGCAGAGAGCGAGTGGCGAGTAGGCAGAGGAGTGGCCTGAGGCAAGGAGTACGTGAAGCCGAAGCGCTGAAGGACCTGCTGCACCATGTGTGATTGAGTCAGGGTAATGGTGCGGCGTGCTCTATCCCGGGTGATCTGCAAGCCAAGGTAGCTACGCAGTTCACCCAGGTCTGTGCACGTGTGTCTCTTCTGCAACTCGAACTTCACGTGGGTGAGTCCAGCAGTGTCAGCCGTGGCAAAGACCAAGTCGTCGACGTACACGAGGATGTAGAACGGCGGCAAAGAAGTGTCGGTGCGCAGAAACAGCGACGGGTCGGCAGTAGAGGGAGCAAACCCAAGAGCCGCAAGTGTAGTCCTCAGTGTGTCGTGCCACTCACGCGGTGCCTGGCGCAGACCGTAGACAGGCCGCCGGAGGCTCCACTGGGTGCCAGGAGGAAAAGACCCAGTGAAGTCAGGTGGGCGGCGCAGCCAGATCTCCTCGTGCAGGCTACCCTACAAGAAAGCAGTGCTGAAGTCAAGAGAGTGCAGCTCGTAGTCACGGTGAGCAGCAACGTGCAGCAGTACCCGAAGAGTGGTCATCTTCGGGGTGGGAGAGAAGGTCTGAAAGTAGTCAACTCCCTGCCGCTGACTGAAGCCACGAGCCACGTAACGCGCCTTGAAGACAGGCGGAGACCCGGTGGCCGCATCACCCTGAAAATCCACATGTCATTGACGATGTTCGCCCCAGACGGGGGAACCTCGTCAACGTAGGTGCCTGTGGACTTCCAGGAAGCCATCTTTGCGTCCATAGCTGCCTGCCACTAAGAGGAGTAGGGACCCTCTATCGCCTCCGCGTAAGAGCGCGGAGTCGGGATGTCAAGTGCATCCGGGTCTCCCTCAGGGGTAAACAGTACGGATACGAGATGAGGTGAAGCAGCAGCCAAACACTGGAACTCCTCCTGCGTGTCCTCAAGGACGTCCGTGCCAAGGGCACACTCACCCCTGACGGACGGAGGACAGGCAGACGCAGACTCAGCGACAAGACTAGCAGCGTACTCTAGGCGACAGCGAGCCGCAAAGTCGACGAGCTCAGCAACTAGGGCAGACGCAGCAGTGGACTCAAAGGAAGGGTCAGTTATGACAGAAGCAAGGAGACGCGTGACAGTAGGACTGGCAGCACGAAGAGAGTCCGACTCCGGGTCGGCAAGAGCAGGAAGAGAGGACTCAGGAGGAGAAGGCAAAGGGGCACGCAGAGGAGCAGTGGACGGACGCAAAGACATCCGGTGCGTGCCAGGGACAGGAGGAAGACGCTGACGCGAACCGCGACCACTAGTGCGAGCAGGACGAACAGGCGACGCAGGGCGAGACGCAGGCTCACGACGCTCAACAAGACCTCCAGTAGGACCAGTGTAGGGAGAAGGAGCAGGCAGAGGGGAGGCCGGCTGTAACTGTAACTGTGACGGGAAAGGTTGTGGACCATCTAAGGGAGGAGGAGGACCAATAGAAGGCGGAAGACAAAGAACACGCTGAAGGAGCGGAACGAAGTACAGCCGAGGCCGCGCGGGGACTCTAGACACAGCAAGAACAGCACCTGTACCACGAGTGGCAGCACCAGTGCCAGCAGCACCTCTAGCTCAAGGACCCTCAGCAGCTCTATTAGCTCCAGGACCTCTAGCAGCACTAGTAGCACCCCCACCCGGACCGACTGCAGTAGCCTCAGCGCCAACACCCTCAGTAGCTCCAGCTCCAGTCGTACCCGTAGGCCCAGCAGCTCCAGTACAAGTACCTCCGGGACCCACGATACCAACACCCTCAGTAGCCGAAGAGCCTCCAGCCCTAGCAGCACCCCTCCAGCGCCGATCAAACCATTTGCGCAGCTTCTGTGGAGAGAGTGGGTCCCGCCGAGACGAAGCACCAGGAGAACCTCCAGGCACAGTACCGCGAGAGGCGACACGAGCAGGCCCAGCTCCCTCAGGATCCGCACCCCCAGGCGTAGCACCCCCAGGCTCAACACCCCCAGGCGTAGCACCTCCAAGCTCCGCACCCCCAGGCTTAGTACCCTCAGGCGTAGCGCCCCCAGGCTCCGCATCCCCGGTAGTACCACCCTCAGTCTCAGCACCCCCAGGGGCAGCACCCTCCTGCTCAGCACCCCCAGAGTCAGCACCCCCAGGCTCAGCACCCTCAGCAGCACCAGAGTCACCAACAACCTTGACAAGCTCGACTGCGTCTACCTGGGACACACCTCAAGGGGCAGGACCCTGAGGGGGGAGGGGGTCTACCGGGGGGGGACCTGGCACAAGGAAGAGCGGTGGTGGGGGAAGGGACGGAGTGCGGTAGGGGAAGAGGCGGTAGTAGGGGACCGACTCGTCAAACGTGATGTCCCGGGAGGACAAAACACGGCGAGAGGTGGGGTGGTAGAACTGCCACCCTGGCGCGTCAGGGGGGAAACCCAGGAAGACGCAAGGAGGAGCACGAGGGGACAGCTTGTCCGCAGACAAGACACGGACAAACGCCCGAGATCCCCAGACACGGAACGCAGACGCATCGCCAACCTTCCTTATCCAAAGCAAGGCTGGGGAGATCTCCGGCATGGAGACCCTGGGCTGAAGGTTGATCTGATGCGCTGCGTACCGAACCGCTAACGGCCACAAAAAATGGGGGGCAGCCGCATGCATCATGGACGTACGAGCGACGTCCATGACCATGCCAATGCGGCGCTAATCAATCCCATTTTGCTGTGGAGAGTCCGAAAGCGTGAAGGTCTGGCGGATGCCTCGTGCACGACAGTAGGCTCGTAGAAGGCCAGAGGAGAACTCTCCGCCTCGGTCATAGTGCAGACGCAGAACAGGAAAGTCCGAGCCGAAGCTCTGCCTGAGCTGGAGACGAGCTGCGCGGATCTAGTCGATCAACACCTCTGTGACATCACCCTTGCTGCGCAAGGGGAAGACTGTGGTGTAACGCGAGTAGTCGTCAACCACCAGTAGGAAGTAGCGCTCCTGACCCTGTCCACGGACGCGGGCTGGGCCCCACACGTCCATGTGAAGCGTCTGCAGCGGGGCCTCTGTCGAGTGCGGGAAGAGTGAGGGGCAGCACGCTACCGCCCCTCGACGCAGGGGACGCACGCAGGGGCAGGCCTCAGGGTAAAGGGGAGGGAGGGATCGGGGAAGACGAGAGACAAGGAGACGGGACGCCATGCCTCGGAGACGAGACAGGGAGGGGTGACCAAGGCGGTGGTGCCAAAGGAGAGTCTTGTGAGACAGGAGACGACACGAGCAGGGGGCAGACCCAGGACCAGACCTGGACGCTGCACCAAACACCTGACTCGACGCAGCTACCCGACCAGACGCAGTGACTGGAGGAGACTCAATGGTCAGTGTGTACAGGCTCGACCCCGGCTGACGTGTAAACGTGGCCAAGTGTCGGCTCGTCTGAGCCTCCGTGTAGTGGGTCACCCTCTGGCTCGCAGGAGTGAACGGGTGCACTCCCCCATCCTGTAGGTCAGCACCACTCACCAAGTTCGTAGAGAACGAGAGGAGGTAAAGACCAGACAGGGTGCCTGAGGGAGCCGCCGGACACGGGAGGACTGTGGAGAAGTGAGAAAGGACAGGACTCCCAGAGGGGTCAGCCAGAGACACCGCAACCGGCTGACCAAGCGGCGTGAGTGTGGTGCGGTCTCGAAAGAAGGAGCGAGAAGCCCCCGAGTCAAGGGTGAAGGTGAGGGAGGCCGAAGCCGACGCAGTACCTGAGAGAGCAGACTCACCAGCACCTGAGAAAGCAGACGCACTAGCACCTAGAGCAGTAGTCTCGCTAGCACCAAGAGCAGCAGCCTCACCTGTACTTGGAGCAGTAGTCTCAATGCCCGGGTCGGGCGGAAAACACCGGTAACAGTCACCCTCATCACTAATAGTAACAGCATACATGGCAGCAAGAATAGCATCAAAGTCAAGGTCAAAGACAGCTACTCCCTCCCTAGACAGCTCGCCCTAGCGAGGGATCTCAGTGGCCTCCGGGAACTGGTGACGCCAAGCGTCCGTCTGTGCGTAGGACATAGGTGCACGGACCAGTACCCTCACCCCGCTGGCGTGCAGCGTACCACTCACGGAGCTGCTGAGGGGGGAGGATGTCTTGAGTGCGCTGCTGCTGCTGGTGCTGGCGCTGAACACCACCGGAGCCGACCCTCTGTGCAACGCCACCCCGACCAGCTCCACCTCCTCCGCCTCCGCCTCCTCCACCGCCGCCACCTCCGCCACCTCCGCTCCCACCGCCACAGCCGCCGCCGCCTCCGCCTCCACTACCGCCACCGACACCTCCACCCCCGCCACCACTCCCACCACCACCCCCACCCGCTCCACTACCTCCACCGCCACCTCCGCCACCCCCGCCAGCCCCTCTAGCGCCCTTGCCCCCCTTGCCCTTGCCGGTGCGGCGTCTCCCGCTCCGGGTAGACGCAGCGCCGACCGGCTCGAAACCAACGAGGTTTGCCGCAGCAACAAAGGCAACAGAGGGCAGGAGGGGGGAGGGGGAACACCCCTCAAAGACGGGGGTGCGAGGGTCACCACAAGAGGCTCCTACAACGACTATGCTCTTCTCTGCTGCTAGGAGGGCCTTCTCGAGGAGGTCAACGGTGAGAGTGGTGGGGCAAACTGAGAGGAAGTGGTCCCTGACTACGCAAAGAGAGTCAGGGAGCCGGGTGACTATGTAGTAGAGGGTGATGTACATGGGGGGGGGGGGGGGGGTTCTTGGCGCAGAACTCAGTAGGAAGCGCAGCGCGGTAGCGAGTGTCACTAGTGCGGAGGTGCGTAATGAGGTCAGCGACTGTGGGAAAGGCAGTAAGGTCAGGCGGCTCAGTGCAGCAGTGGCAGGGGAGGAGTAGCGTGCAACTACAGCGTCGTACAAGGTCTGAGCACTCTTGTACTGACTAAAGTGTGCACGCTAAGAGGTTGGCGGGTGGCGACGCACAGCAAGACGTGCAGCAGCATCGCGTGTGGCCCACTGCGTGCGAACAGTGGCGTCGGCATCAGCAGCAGGGGCAGGAGAGGCACCAGAGGTGAGGTCAAATAGGGAGAGACCGACTGCCCTATCGCACTGTAGGAAAAGCTGCAGGTCATCGACCCAAACGTCGAAGTCAATGGCCTGACCCTCAGCGTCAAAGCTAGGACACTAGGGGTAGCCATGACAGCACTAGACTAGTAGCGCGAACAGTAGGGTAAGGGCAGTGCAGTGACAGAGGCGCTGCTCTTACCGGACAGGGCGGCTCGGGCAGCTCGGCGGCTCGGCAACTCGGCGGCTCGTGCGGCTCGGGCGGCGCGGCGGTACTGTGGCTCGGCAGCAACTGCGACTCGGCTGCTCGGCGGCTCGGCGGCTCGGCTGCTGGGCGGCTCGGTGGCTTGTTGGCTCGGCTGCTGGGCGGCTCGGCTGCTCGGCGGCTCGGTTGCTGGGCTGCTGTGCCGCTAAAGAAGGCGGGGCCGCGAAGAGCGGCGGGGCCGCTGAAGGGAGCGGCGACGGGGCCGCAGAGGAGGCGGCGGGAGGGCCGTTGAAGGGGCGGCGTCGAGGCCGCTGCAGGGGTGGCGACGGGGCTGCTAAAGAAGGCGGTGGGGCCGCTGAAAGGGCGGCGACGGGGTCTTGTAAGGGCGGCGACGGGCCGTAAGGGGAGGGCAGCGACGGGGCCGCTGAAAGAGGTGGCGGGGCCGCTGGAAGGGCGGCGTCGGGACCGCTGTGAGGGCGGCGACGGGGCCGCGTCAGGGGCGGCGACAGGCCACAGGGGGAGGGCGGCGACGGGCCGCTGAGGGCGGTACGACGGGGCCGCAAAAGGGGCGGCGCGACGGGGCCCCGAAAGGGCGGCGCGACGCGGCCGCGAAGGGCGGCGCGACGGGACCGCTAAGGGTGGCGCGACGGGCCGCTAGGGGCGACGGGACGGGGCCGCTAGGGAAGGTGCGACTCTAAGGGCGCTTCGGGCAGGGGCGGGACGCGCCCTGGGCAGGAAAAAAAATTTCGGTGGGCCCTAGGAACAGTTCCCACTTGGGAACCTGCTCTATACCATGTGAACTTGAGAACAAGAATGAATGAACTATGAAACAGTTGGGTACAAGTACTAAACCTAATTGGGTTGTACCCCTTATGGGCTACCCCACTACAGCCTACACAAATGTACAGGCTACAATGTTCTGACACTCCCCCCCATCCCCTCCCTTGCTTCCTCCCATCCCCTTCCCTGCTTCACCCCATCCCCTTCCTAGCTTCCCCCCATCCCCTTCCCTGCTTCCCCCCATCCCCTTCCCTGCTTCCCCCCATCCCCTTCCCTGCTTCCCCTCATCCCCTCCCCTTCTTCCCCCCATCCCCTTCCCTGCTTCACCCCATCCCCTTCCCTGCTTCACCCCATCCCCTTCCCTGCTTCCCCCCATCCCCTTCCCTGCTTCCCCCCATCCCCTTCCCTGCTTCCCCTCATCCCCTCCTCTGCTTCCCCCCATCCCCCTCCCTGCTTCCCCCCATCACCTTCCCTTCTCCCCCCCATCCCCTCCCCTGCTTCCCCCCATCCCCCTCCCTGTTTCCCCCTATCCCCTTCCCTTCTTCCCCCCATCCCCTCCCCTGCTTTCCCCCATCCCCTGCCCTGCTTCCCCCCATCCCCCTCCCCGCTTCCCCCCATCCCCTTCCCTGCTTTCCCCTATCCCCTGCCCTGCTTCCCCCCATCCCCCTCCCTGCTTCCCCCCATCACCTTCCTTGCTTTCCCCCATCCTCTCCCCTGATTCCCCCCATCCCCCTCCCTGTTTCCCCCCATCCCCTTCCCTTCTTCCCCCCATCCCCTTCCCTGCTTCCCCCCATCCCCTTCCCTCCTTCCCCCCCTGCTGCCTCCCATCACTCTCATTCTCCTTCCTCCCGCACTCACACCTCTCAGTCCTCTCGCACTCTCTCTCTCCGTCCTCTCGCACTCGCACTCTCCTCCCCACCACCCTCAGCCCTCCTTCCCCTCACACCCACCCCTGTTCCCACCTGCCCTCCCCATCCCTGCCTTTCCCTCCCTGCCCTGCCCTTCCCTTCTCCATCCCTTCTCAACCCTTCCCTTTCATGTCATGCCCTCCCCTTCCCCCTCATCTTCCGCCCTCTAGTTACCATGCATGTGCACCCATCACTGTCTCCCCATACCGGTACATGCTTTCATCATGTGCGCTTGCTTGTGTTCCCCTGCAGTTGTTCCCTTGGCACCTCACACCACTTCCCCCATGTTCCATCACACAATTCTTTCTGCCTACTCCACTCTCCAAACTTTCAGTGGTGAAGCAGAGGAGCAAGCTGAGGCGCAGCTAGAGCTAGTCCATGCTTTACGCCGTACCACCACCTGTTTCTTGTGTGTTGTATGCAAGCATGATACTGTATTACTGTTGGATATATCCATTCCAAAAGCGCAATATGTTTCTGCAGTGCAATATATTCTTCCAAGATGCATGGGCAAGAGTGTCAGAAGGGTAGATTCTACTTTTGATTGTACCCTTCTCAAGGACTTGAAAAAAACATGAGGGATGGGATGATGGGCTTCGGCGAGTTGCAGTGCCAGAAAATCTTCATTGGTGTCACTTACTACCCAGGGAGAGGGAGGGAATACGAGAGATGGGGAGGGGGAACAAGACTAAAGTCAAACAGGGGAGATAGGGAAGAGGGGGGAGAGGAAATCAGGGCTGAGAGGGAAAGACATAAGTACCGTTAAAAGAGGGAGGATAGGGAAGAGGGGAGATAGGAAGAGAGGGAGAGGGTAAGTGTGAGATAGGAAGATGGAACGAGGTGAAGAAGAGGGGGAAACGAGGGGAAGCAGGGGGGGAAACGAGGGAAAGCAAGGGGGGAAACGAGGGGAAGCAAGGAGGGAAACAAGGGAAAGCAAGGGGGGAAATGAGGGGAAGCAGGGGGGGAAACCAGGGAAAGCAAGGGAGGGAAATGAGGGGCCAGCAGTGGGGAACATGAGGGGAAGGAGGGGGGATGGGGGGAGGGATATGAGGGGAAGCCGGGGGGAAAATAAGGGAAGCAAGAGGGTACAAATAGAGATACCAGGGAGGGAAATGAGGTGAAGCAGGGAGGAAAATGAGGTGAAGCAGTGAGGGACATGAGGTGAAGTAGTGAGGGAAATGAGGTGAAGCAGGGAGGGAAATGAGGTGAAGCAGTGAGGGAAATGAGGTGAAGCAGGGAGGGAAATGAGGTGAAGCAATGAGGGAAATGAGGTGAAGCAGTGAGGGAAATGAGGTGAAGCAGGGAGGGAAATGAGGTGAAGCAGTGAGGGAAATGAGGTGAAGCAGGGAGGGAAATGAGGTGAAGCAGGGAGGGAAATGAGGTAAAGCAGTGAGGAAAATGAGGTGAAGCAGGGAGGGAAATGAGGTGAAGCAGTGAGGGAAATAAGGTGAAGCATGGAGGGAAATGCGGTGAAGCAGTGAGGGAAATGAGGTGAAGCAGGGAGGGAAATGAGGTGAAGCAGTGAGGGAAATGAGGTGAAGCCGTGAGGGAAATGAGCGCCAGAATCCCAACCACTAGACCATTGGGATAAAAGGGCTTGTTTCAGTAGCGGGTTAGTGCGCCCATAACCCCCCAGGCAAACGCGCTTGCAACCCTCTCAAGAGCGAGTGACTTGTAGCCAGAGGAGTGGCTTGTGGTGAGGGCCAGGTGAAGCCGAAGCGCTTAAGGACCTGCTGCACCATGTGTGACTGAGTCAGTGTGATGGTGCGGCGTGCTCTGTCCCGGATGATTTGCAAGCCAAGGTAGTTGCGCAGCTCACCCAGGTCTGTGCACGTGTGTCTCTTCTGCAGCTCCAACCTCACCAGGGCAAGAGCCTCAGCGTCAGCAGTGGCAAAGACCAAGTCGTCGACGTACACGAGGATGTAGAACGGCGGCAGCGAAGTGTCGGTGCGTAGAAACAGTGACGGGTCAGCAATCGACGGAGCAAACCCAAGAGCCGCAAGTGTCGTCCTCAGTGTGTCTTGCCACTCACGCGGCGCCTGTTGGAGACCGTAGACTGGCCACCGGAGGCTCCACTGGGTACTAGGAGGGAACGACCCAGTGAATGAGAAAACTGAAACGAGTATGAATGAACTATGAAAGAAGTGGGTACAAGTACTAACCCTAATTGGGTTGTATCCCCTATGGGATACCCCACTACAGCCTACACAAATGTATAAGCTGTAGAATGTTCCGACACACCCCCATAGGCAAAGTGGGGGAGAACAAGGGGTCACCTGATCAGGTAAGCAAAGCAAAGCAAAGCAAGCTCAGGGTGGATCTCAAAGTCACCACACATTCCCAGCACAAGGTCAAGGCAACAAGGCCAGTTCACATGCAAGAGTACACACATATATAAAGCTAAACAAGCAAGAGCTGGTAAATATATATGTAACAGTACAAGCAAGGTCAAGAGGTGAGCAAGTGAGGCAAGACAGGCACAAGACCCAGCTGAGTGCAGAAGCGCTGATGATCACAAGGCGCAAGAGCCTTGGTGAAGACATCACCAGTGTTGGCCTCAGAGGCCACGTACGCAAGCCGCAACTGACCACGCTGCTGTAGCTCACGAGCAAGAAGGTAGCGGAGAGCAATGTGCTTTGTTCTGTGCTCCAGTCTCTACTCTCGACACAAGGCCAGCAAGGCCTTGTTGTCTACGTACAGAACTGGAGGAGAACGAGGCTGCTCTCCGAGGTTAGTCAGCAGGGAGGTGAGCCAGCGAAACTCCTGTGCAGCCATGGCCCCGGCGTAGATCTCGGCCTCACAACTAGAGCCGAGAACAGAAGACGAGAGAGTAGCCCACGAAGAAACAGAGCCGGATTCAAGGCTGAAGGTGTAACCCTGTGACGACCGCTGCGTAGCCTGGTCGTCAGCCCAAGAAGCGTCTGTATGCCCAGTGAGGACCACTGGACTCCGCCCTCCAAGCACTAGCCCCATGCCCGACGTACTGCACAAGTAGCGCAACACCCTCTTCGCTTCAGCCATGTGCTCTGGTCGGTGTCTCCAAGGAGCAACATAGCGTGCGAGAATGCTAAGAGGGTATGCAAGGTCAGGTCGAGTGCAGGTCATCAGGTACATGAGGCAGACAACAAGCTCTGGATACGGGCCACTCGACTCTACGGACTCATCCGAAGGCAGAGCCGAGAGTGAGTGGCGAGTAGGCAGAGGAGTGGCCTGAGGCGAGGAATACGTGAAGCCAAAGCGCTGAAGGACCTGCTGCACCATGTGTGACTGAGTCACGGTAATGGTGCGGCGTGCTCGGTCCCGAGTGATCTGCAAGCCAAGGTAGTTGTGCAGTTCACCCAGGTCAGTGCACGTGTGTCTCTTCTGCAGCTCGGACTTCACGTAGGCGAGTCCAGCAGTGTCAGCAGTGGCAAAGACCAAGTCGTCGACGTACACGAGGATGTAGAACGGCGGCAGAGAGGTGTCGGTGCGCAGAAACAGCGATGGGTCGGTAGTAGAAGGAGCAAACCCAAGTGACGTAAGCGTAGTCCTCAGCGTGTCGTGCCACTCGTGGGGCGCCTAGCGGAGACCGTAGACTGGACGCCGGAGACTCCACTCGGTACCAGGAGGAAACGACCCAGTGAAGCCAGGTGGGTGGTGCAGCCAGATCTCCTTGTGCAGGCTGCCCTGCAAGAAAGCTGTGCTGAAGTCAAGAGAGTGCAGCTCGTAGTCACGGTGAGCACCAACGTGCAGCAGTACCCGAAGAGTGGTCATCTTCGGGGTGGGAGAGAAGGTATGAAAGTAGTCAACTCCCTGCCGCTGACTGAAGCCACGAGCCACGTAACGTGCCTTGAAGACAGGCGGAGAACCCGGCAGCCGCTTCACCTTGAAGATCCACATGCCACTGTCGATGTTCGCCCCAGGCGGGGGAACCTCGTCAACGTAGGTGCCTGTGGACTTCCAGGAAGCCATCTCTGTGTCCATAGCTGCGTGCCACTGAGAAGAGTAGGGACCCTCTATCGCCTCCGCGTAAGAGCGTGGAGTCGGGATGTCAAGTGCATCCGGGTCTCCCTCAAGGGTAAGCAGTACGGACACGAGATGAGGTGAAGGAGCAGCCAAACACTGGAACTCCTCCTGCCTGTCCTCAAGGACGTCCGTGCCAAGGGCACACTCACCCCCGACGGATGGAGGACACACAGACTCAGACTCAGCGACAAGACTAGCAGCGTAGTCTAGGCGACAGCGAGCAGCAAAGTCGACCAGCTCAGCAACTAGGGCTGACGCAGCAGTGGACTCAAAAGAAGGGTCAGTGACTACAGTAGCAAGGAGACACGTGACACTGAGAGTGGCAGCACGAAGAGAGTCCGACTCCGGGTCGGGAAGAGCAGGAAGAGAGGACTCAGGAGGAGAAGGCAAAGGGGCATGCAAAGGAGCAGTGGACGGACGCAGAGACATCCGGTGCGTGCCAAGGACAAGAGGAGGACGCTGACGTGAACCACGACCACTAGCGCAAGCAGCACGGACAAGCGACGCAGGGCGAGACGCAGGCTCACGACGCTCAGCAAGACCTCCAGTAGGACCAGTGTAGGGAGAAGGAGCAGGCAGTGGGGAGGCAGGCTGTAACTGTAACTGCGACGGGACCGACTGTGGACACGCTAAGGGAGAAGGAGGACCAGTAGAAGGCGGAAGACCAAGAACCTGCTGAAGGAGCGGAACGAAGTACGTTCGAGACCGCGCGGCGACACCAGACACAGCAGGGACGGCACCAGTACCCCCAACACCAGCTCCCGCAGTACCTCCCGCTCGAGTACCCGCAGCAGCTCCAGTAGCTCTAGGACCTCCAACAGCACCAATAGCACCCCCAGCAGGACCGCCAGTAGTCGTCTCAGCGCCAACACCCTGCAGCTCTAGTACTCCCAGTACGAGCACCTCCGGGACCTGCAACACCAGCAGCCTCAGTAGCCGAAGAACCTCCAGCTCCAGCAGCACGGCTCCAGCGCCGGGCAAACCACTCGCGCAGCTCCCGAGGAGAGAGTGGCTCCCGCCGAGACGAAGCACCCGGAGAACCTCCAGGTCCAGCACCACCAGACGCCACACCAACTTGGCCAGCTCCCTCATGCTCCACACCTCCAAGCGTAGCACCTCCAAGCTCAGCACCTCCGGGCGTAGCACTCCCAGGCACACCACCCCCAGGCTCAGCACCCCCAGGCACAGCACCCCCAGGCTCAGCACCCCCAGGCACAGCACCCCCAGGCTCAGCACCCCTAGGCTCAGCACCCCCAGGAGTAGCACCCACACGCACAGCACCCCCAAGCTCAGCACCCTCAGCAGCACCAGAGTCACCTGTAACCTCGACATGCTCGACTGCGTTTACCTGGGACACACCTGAAGGGGCAGGACCCTGAGAGGGGAGGGGGTCTACCGGGGGGGGACCTGGTACAAGGAAGAGCGGTGGGGGGGGGGGGGGGACGGAGTGCGGTAGGGGAAGAGGCGGTAGTAGGGGACCGACTCGTCAAACGTGACGTCCTGAGAGGACAAAACACGGCGAGAGGTGGGGTGGTAGAACTGCCATCCGAGCACGTCTGGGGAGAACCCCAGGAAGACGCAAGGAGCAGCACGAGGGGACAGCTTGTCCGCAGACAAGTCGCGGACAAACGCCCGAGATCCCCAGACCCGGAACGCCGACGCATCGCCAACCTTCCCCGTCCACAGCAGGGCTGGGGAGGTCTCCGTTCTAGAGACCCTGGGGTGGAGGTTGATCTGATGCGCCGCGTACCTGACCGCAAACGGCCACAGAAAATGGGGGGCAGCCGCATGCATCATAGACGTACGAGCGACGTCCATGACGATGCCAATGCGGCGCTCTGTAATCCCATTTTGCTGTGGAGAGTCCGGAAGCGTGAAGGTCTGGCGGATGCCTCGCGCACGACAGTAGGCACGTAGAAGGCCAGAGGAGAACTCTCCGCCTCTGTTCGAGTGCAGACGCAACACAGGAAAGTCCGAGCCAAAGCTCTGCCTGAGTTGGAGACGAGCTGCGCGGATCCAGTCGATCAGCACCTCAGTGACATCACCCTTGTTGCGCAAGGGGAAGACTGTGGTGTAACGCGAGTAGTCGTCTACCACCAACAGGAAGTAGCGCTCGTGACCGAGTCCACGGACGCGGGCAGGGCCCCACACGTCCATGTGAAGCGTCTGCAACGGAGCCTCTGTCGGAGGAAACTGGGAGGAGTGAGGGGCAGCACGCTGGCGCCCCTCGACACAGGGGACACAGGCAGGGCCAGGGCCCTGAGGAAGGGGAGGGAGGGACCGGGGAAGACCAGACACAAGAAGACGGGAGGCCATGCCTCTGAGCCAAAGCAGAGAGGGGTGGCCATGGCGGTGGTGCTAGAGGAGGGTCTCGTAAGACAGACGGCCACACGAACAGGGGGCACACTCAGGACTAGACCTGGACGCTGTAGTAAACACCTGACCAGACGAAGAGACCCTACCAGACTCAGCACCTGGAGGAGAAGCAGTGGTCAGTGTGTACAGGCTCGACCCTGGCTGACGTGTAAACGTAGCCAGGTGGCGACCTGTGCTAGCCTCTGTGCAGTGTGTCACCCGTTGACGAGCAGGAGTGAACTGGTGGACACCCGCATCCTGTAGGTCAGCACCACTCACTAGGAGCCACTCCTCTGCGTAGAACCGCGACTTGCTCCACCGTGACCTCCGCCACTTCCACCGTCTCCGCCACCGCCGCCGCCTCCGCCACCACCGCCGCCTCCGCTCCCTCCGCCACCGCCGCCTCCGCCTCCGCCTCCACTGCTGCCACCGGTATTCCCACCCCCTCCACCACTCCCACCACCACCCCCACTCCCTTCGCCGCCTCCACCGCCGCCTCCACCGCCCCCACCAGCTCCTCCAGCGCCCTTGCCCCCCTTGCCCTTGCCTATGTGGCGCTTCCCCAAAGGGGCAGACGCAGCGCCGACCGACTCAAAACCAACGAGGTCGGCTGCAGCAGCAGAAGCAACTGAGGGCAAGAGGGGAGAGGGAGAACACCCCTCAAAGACAAGGGTGCGTGGGTCACCACGAGAGGCTCCTACAGCGACTATGCTCTTCTCCGCTGCTAGGAGGGCCTTCTCGAGGAGGTCAACGATGACAGTGGTGGGGCACACTGCGAGGGAGTGGTCCCTAACTACGCGAAGGGAGTCAGGGAGTCGGGTGACTATGTAGTAGAGGGTGATATACATGGGGGGGATTCTTGGCGCAGAACTCAGCAGGAAGCGCAGCGCGGTAGCGAGTGTCACTAGTGCGGAGGTGCGTAATGAGGTCAGCGACTGTGGGAAAGGCAGCAAGGTCAGGGAAGAGGTACGGTAGCATGAGGCGGCTCAGTGCAGCAGTGGCAGGGGAGGAGTAGCGCGCAACTACAGCGGCGTACAAGTTCTAAGCACTCTTGTACTGACTAAAGTGCGCACGCTCAGAGGTAGGGAGGTGGCGACGCACAGCAAGACGTGCAGCAGCATTGCGCGTGGCCCACTGGGAGCGGACAGTGGCGTCAGCATCAGCAGCAGGGGCAGGAGATGCACTAGAGGTAAGGTCAAAGAGGGAGAGACCGTCCGCCCTATCGCACTGTAAGAAAAGCTGCAGGTCATCTATCCAGACGTCAAAGTCAACGGCCCGACCCTCAGCGTCAAAAGCGAGGACACTAGGGGTAGCCATGACAGCAGTAGACTTGTAGCACAGACAGTAGGGTAAGGGCAGTGCAGTGACAGAGGCGCGACTCTCACCGAACAAGGCGGCTTGGGCGGCTCGGTGGTGCGAGCGGCTCAGCTGTAGGGCGGCTCGGCGGCTCAGTTGCTGGGCGGCTCAGCTGCTGGGCGGCTCGGCTGCTGGGCGGCTCAGCTGCTGGGCGGCTCGGGTGCACGGCGGCTGGGGTACATGGCGGCTCGGGTGTTGGGCGGCTGGGCGGTCTGGTGGCTCGGCCGCAGGGCGGCTCGGTAGCTCGGCCGCTCGGCGGCTCGGCCGCTGAGCGGCTCGGCCGCTCGGCGGCTCGGCAGCTCGGCTGCTCGGCCGCTGGGTGGCTCGGCGTCGCTAGGAGACGGCGGCGGGGCCGAAGGTAAGGGCGGCGGGCCGTAGGTAAGGGCGGCGAGGCCGCAGGTAAGGGCGGCGAGCCGTAGGTAAGGGCGGCGGGCCGCAGGTAAGGGCGGCGGGGCCGCAGGTAAGGGCGGCGGGGCCGCAGGTAAGGGCGGCGGGGCTGCTAGGAGACGGCGGCGGGGCCGCAGGTAAGGGCGGCGGGCCGCAGATAAGGGCGGCGGGGCCGAAGGTAGGTGGCAGGGCCGCAGGTAGGTGGCGCACCCGCAGTAAGGGCGGCGGGGCCAGCAGGTAGGCGCCGAGGCCGCAGGGAAGGGCGACGTTAAGGCCGCAGGGCAGCGCGAGGCCGCAGGGCGGCGGATCGGGGCCGGTTAGGGGCGGGGCAAGGGCCGCGGGGTGGGCGACGAGGGCCGCTAGGGCGGCGCGAGGGCCGCGGGGTGGGCGACGAGGGCCGCTAGGGCGGCGCGACGGGCTCGAGACAAGGGAGCGCGACTTGGGCTAGGGCTGAGCGCGCTCTGGGTAGGAAAAAAAAATGTTCGAATTGGTGGGCCCTAGGAACAGTTCCCACAAGGGAACCTGCTCTGATACCATGAGAAAACTGAAACGAGAATGAATGAACTATGAAAGAAGTGGGTACAAGTACTAACCCTTATTGGGTTGTACCCCCTATGGGATACCCCACTACAGCCTACACAAATGTATAAGCTATAGAATGTTCCGACAGTGAAGCCAAGAGGGCGGCGCAGCCAGATCTCCTCGTGCAGGCTGCCTTGCAAGAAAGCAGTGCTGAAGTCAAGAGAGTGAAGCTCGTAGTCACGCTGAGCAGCAACGTGCAGCAGCACCCGAAGAGTGGTCATCTTTGGGGTGGGGGAGAAGGTATGGAAGAAGTCAACTCTCTCTTGTTGACTGAAAAATCGAGCAACGTAACGAGCCTTGAAGACAGGCGGAGAACCTGGCGGCCGCTTCACCCTAAAAATCCACATGCCACTGACGATGTTCGCCCCAGGAGGGGGAACCTCATCGAGGTAGATGCCTGTGGACTTCCAGGATGCCATCTCTGCGTCCATGGCTAACTTCCACTGAGAGGAGTACTCACCCGCGATCGCCTCAGCGTAAGAGCGCGGGGTCGGGATGTCTGGAGCATCCGGGTCTCCCTTAGGGGCAAGCAGCATAGACACGAGATGAGGCGCAGCGGCTACAAGACACTCAAGGTCCTCTTGCCTATCCTCAAGGACGTCCGTGCTAAGAGCACACTCAACCCCGATGGACGGAGGACAGACCGACTCAGACTCAACAACAAGACTAGCGGCGTAGTCTAGACGTCAGGCAGCAACAAAGTCGACAAGCTCAGCTACTAGGGCAGACGCAGCAGTGGACTGAAACGACGGGTCAGTGACAACAGTGGCTAACACACGTGTGACCGTAGGGTGCTCAGTACAAAACTGGTCAGACTCACGGTCATCAGCGACAGGCAGAGAGGACTCAGGAGGGGACGGCAAAGGAACACAAGGCAAAGAAGAGGAAAGACGACGGAATACAAGGTGGGTGCCTGGAACAGCCCGCAGACGCTGACGAGGAACACTACGACCAGAACGGATATGCGAGATAGGACGCGACACATGCTCACAACGCTCAGCAGGACCTCCTGGCTGCTCAGTGTAAGGAGAAGGAGCAGGCAGGGGTGAGCCAGGCTATAACGGAAGACCAGTAGACGACGGGAGGCTAAGAACCTGGCGAAGCACGGAGGCAGGCGGTGGTAGAGACGACGGAGAAGGCGGAGCAAATAACAGGCATGGCTGCGCAGCGCCACCAGCACCAGCGACTCCAACACCCTGAGCAGCTCCAGCACCCCGAGCAGCTCCAGTACCTCCAGCAGCTCCAGCACCCTTAGCAGCTTTAGCACCCTCAGTAGCTCCAGCACCCTCGGTAGCTCCAGGACCCTCAGCAGCTCCAGCACCCTTAGCAGAAGCACCCCCAAAACCAGCACCTCCAGTCCTAGGGTCACCAGCCTCAGTGTCTCCAGCAGTAGCATCCCCAGACCTAGGGTCCCCACCAGGAGTACCCTCAGGCTCAGCAGCACCTCCAGCACGAGCAGCTCGAGTACCTCCAGTACGAGCACCTCCGAGACCAGCACCACTCCTAGCTCCAGTTACGGCAGTAGAAGTACCTCCAGCAGCAGAGCCCTGAGCTCCAGAAGCGCGACCCTGACGGCGACCGTACCAGCCGTGCAGCTGCTGTGAGGTGAGAGGTACACGCAAACGAAGACGGGTACTCCAAGGAGACCGCGGAGCAGCAGTCTCAGCACCCCAAGACTCAGCACCCCCAGGCTCTGCACACGTAGGCCCAATACCCCCAGTCTCCGCACCCCCAGGCTCCTCACACAAAGGCTCCGCACCCCCAACAGGATCTGACTCACCAGTGACCTCCACAAGCACAGGCACGGGAGGGTCTGCTTGAGAAACACCTGAAGGAGCAGAACCTGGTGCGGGGAGGGGGTCTACCTGGGGAGGACCTGGAGCAAGAAAGAGCGGCGGGGGGGGGGCGAGGGGCAGTGCGGTAGGGAAAGAGACGGAAAAACGGGACGGACTCGTCAAAGGTGACGTCCTGAGACGCAAAGACACGGCGCGTGGCTGGGTCGTAGAACTACCAGCCAGGAGCGTCAGGGACAAAGCCAAGGAAGACGCAGGGAATAGCGCGAGGGGAGAGCTTGTCCGTAGTGGTATCGCGAACAAAGGCACGGGCACCCCAGACTCGGGAACGCGACGCATCGCCAACCTCCCCCGTCCAACGCAGTGTGGGCGACGTCTCCGGTATAGAGACACGGGGCCAGAGGTTGAGCTGATGTGCGGCGTACCTGACCGCAAACGGCCACAAAAAATGGGGGGCAGCCGCATGGATCATGGAGGTACGAGCGACCTCCATGACTAAGCCAATGCGGCGCTCAGCAACCCCATTCTGCTGCGGAGAGGCCGGAAGCGTGAACGTCTCGCGGATGCCGTGCTCCGCACAATAGGCTGCCAAGTCGGCTAGCGTGATAGTGGTAGGGTCCTTGGCGAGGACATGGTCCCTGACCAAGCTAAGAGTGTCAGGGAGGCGAGTGACGAGGATGTAGAGGGTAAAGTACAGCGGTGGGGTGTTCGTGGCGAGAAACTCGTCGATAAGAGCGGCACGAAAGCGGGCGTCACTAGCGCGGAGGTGAGAGATGAGGTCCTCAGCGGTGGTAAACGAGGACAGGTCGGGGAATAGGTAGGGCAGGATGAGGCGTCCTACAGCTGCAGTGGCTGGGGAGGAATAGCGCGCAACTACAGCGTCATACAGCGCCTTAGCAGTCTTGTGCTGACTAAAATGTGTGCGCTCGGTGATCGGCAGGTGGCTACGGATAGCGAGGCGCGCAACAGCATCGCGAGTTTGCCACTGTGAGCGGTCAAGAACAGGATTAGTGGCAGTAGGGGCAGCGGCAGTGCCTGACGCGTGATCGAACAGAGAAACGCCGTCTTTGGCATCCGTCATAAGAAATAGCTGCAGGTCGTCAAGCCAAGTGGCAAACTCTATCGGGCGACCATCAGGCTCAAACGCGAGAACGTTAAGCGTCGCCATTACAGCAGCGTAGGCAAAGGCAGCAGACCACAACAGCTATCAGGATCACAAGTCAGGCTAGCGCAATGGATGCAAGGCGCAAGGCAGGCAGGCAGGCTAGCAGGCAGGCGGACATGCCAGTAGGCAGGCAGGCAGGCCGGCAGGTGCAAGGCAGGAAGGTGCAAGGCAAGGCAGGCGCAAGGCAAGCAGGCCAGTAGGCAAGACTCAAGGCAGGCAGGCAGGCTAGTAGGCAAGCAGGCAGGCAGGCAGGCAGGCTGGCAGGTGCAAGGCAGGAAGGTGCAAGACAAGGCAGGCGCAAGGCAGGCAGGCAGGCCAGTAGGCAGGCAGGCAGGCCGGCAGGTGCAAGGCAGGAAGGTGCAAGACAAGGCAGGCGCAAGGCAGGGCAGCAAGCGCGCAGGGCGAGGAGGCAGCGTGCAAGCAGGGCAGAGTGCAGCAGCGACAGGCTGCGCGGGGATGAAAGCTGCGCGCGGTTGCGGGCTGCTCGGGGCGACGTGCTGCGCGCGGCTGCAGGCTGCGCGTAGCAACGGGCGGCGAGCTGCGCGAGGCAACGGGCTGCGCGCGGCTGCAGGCTGTGCGCGGCGTCGGGCGGTAGGCCGCGGGCTGCGCGCGGCTGAGGCAGACAGCGCGACGCACTAAGCTGCAGCGGGCCGTTCGCAAGGTGCAGCAATGGGGCGCGCTTAAAAAAAGAATTTTAACAGGCCGTTCGTCTCTGTATTTCACACGCTGCTACCCGCCCGTGGGCGCCCGGTGGCTGACAGAGTAAAATTGCGTAACCCTAAGGGTATGCGTATTGTGGACGCCCCTAGCGTGGCATTGCCCTAAGTAATAGGCACTTTCGAGCCCAATATACGTTCGCAATGCCCCGAAACCGTGGACCTACGTGCTGCCAGAGGCAATCGATGTGCCAGAGGCCATATCGCGCTGTGTTGCGCTCTTCTCAACGCTCCTTCCTGCGACTCAGCATGTACGTTTGCACGTTGTTAGCTCCTGCGGTTAGTTCACATGAAGTAGTTAGCTTGATTGATCGTGGTGTTCTTTCTCCTCACTCGTGTTGGTGCTTCCCGTTTTCGTTTTTGCTAGTAGTCGCATTGTGCGTGGACCTTCTCCACTAATTGAACCTGATTGGGTGAAGAACAATCCTTGCGACACTCCTTCCAGTCGCACCACAGTGCTTGCAAATCCATCAAAGCTGCACAATATCGTTCACCATCGCTTCACGTTTGGCGAGACCCCTTTCCCCCTCGTCAATCAATGTTTTTCTCGCTACACTGACTTTGCCGAAATTCTTGTTTTCAAGGTCTCGCCAACACTATTTCAAACCCACATAACTTGATAAATTACCATGCTGACTCCGGGCTTTAATGCAGAGAATATTCCCGTACCTTGTCAGGAAATGCACATCATTTTCAGAGTTTGCTTCTTGGTCTTGACCCTGCAAGTTTGCTTTGCTGATATCTAAACTATGCTAGACCATTGCACATAGTTTCTTCATACAGTGCTCCGGTGGCAGCACTGCGCTGCAACATGATTTTACATCGTATATATTTATGCTTACAGATCGTTCAAGATACAATAATTTAATAGCACATGATCAACAAGGCGTTGAGAAACAAGATAACAACCTAGTTAAGGAACTGAGTCACGGGTACAGCTCTAATGGCCAGAACTATACGAACAATATGCGACTGATAGCCTCGCCACACCAGGCTTCCAAACTCAAACACCCTGCTCGGCTTCCCCTTGGGCCGAAACCGCACCGAAAACTTTTGCGTCTGCCCAGGATTGATAGTGAAGCTCTTTGGATTGACATCTATTTTCACTCCACTAGGCCCCCTTATTATCGCCCTGTAGGTCTCTGCCACCACGTCTACATTCTTCACCACACGCCTTACCACCACTGGTCTTGAGAGACGCGAGATGGAGATCAACGGACGGTTGAGATTGAACGCTTTCACCGGCTGGATTCCCCCAACACCTGGGAAATTCATCATGGTGTAGAAATAGCTACGCCCCGCGAGAAAGTTTACGTAATCTTTGTAACCCACGTGGAATGTAAGACCAGGGTTCAATACCCGCATGGGGTCAACATGACCCGACCCCATATCCCACGGGGTAGCTTCGACCGTTTTCCCAGAGCTCTTCTTGCCGGAGCTGGTGGTTCGGCGGATGGGGTTGCCGAGCTTGTTGGTGGTGTAGGTGGTGGTCATGATTGCGGATGCGATTTGGGCGGGCGACTAGTTTGGATTCTTCTGGATGATCAGGGCGGCACTGCCGGCCAGATGCGGTGTGGCCATAGAGGTCCCGGAAAGATAGTCGAGTTTGGGCGGCTCAGAGGAAGAGGAGGGTGTGAGGCCACTGGAAGCAGCCCAGAGCTGGAATCCCGGGCCAATGATGTCGGGCTTTAAGATGTCATTTGAGGCGAGCAGGCGCGGGGTGATTGAGAAGGCGGGGTTGAGAGGCGGGCCCGTGGAGGAGAAGTAGGCGACTGGTGGGGCTTCGTCTGAGAACGTGGTGAAGGGCGGCGAGAGGGAGGCTATGCGGCTGAGAGGGGTAGCAAAAGGGGGGGGGGGGGGGGTGGGGGGGGGGGGGTTTGTGAAATGGGAAAATGAAGGGGAAACAGGGAAGGAGAATGAAGGGGTTGAGAGGCGGGCTTGTGGAGGAGAGGTGGGCGACTGATGGGGCTTCGTCTGAGAATGTGGGAGAGGGACGCTGTGGGGCTAGGAGGGGAAGGGAGGGGAGAGGAGGGGGGAGAGTGAAGAAGGAAAAGGAAGTGCTGATTAGCATTGAAAGAGGCGAGACCCCGCCACGTGCCCGCCTCTCTACCCCGCCACGTGACCGCCTCTCTACCCCGCCACGTGCCCGCCTCTCTACCCCGCCACGTGCCCACCTCTCTACCCCACCACGTGCCCGCCTCTCTACCCCGCCACGTGCCCGCCTCTCTACCCCGCCACGTGCCCGCCTCTCTACCCCGCCATTTGCCCGCCTCTCTACCCCGCCACATGCCCACCTCTCTACCCCGCCACGTGCCCGCCTCTCTACCCCGCCACATGCCCGCCTCTCTACCCCGCCACGTGCCCGCCTCTCTACCCTGCCACGTGCCCGCCTCTCTACCCCGCCACGTGCCCGCCTCTCTACCCCGCCACGTGCCCGCCCCTCTACCTCGCCTTAAACCGCCCAAAAATGAGAGGCGAGAGAGAGGCGAGAGGCAAGGGACTAGTGAGCCGGAAGGCGGGGCTGAGAGGCGGGCTGCGGGCCCGTGGGAGGAGAAGTAGGCGACTGATGGGGCTTCGTCTGAGAATGTTATGAAGGGCGGAATGAGGGAGGCTGTGGGGCTGAGAAACGGGGGAGCAGGGGAGGGGAAGTGCAGAGAGAGAAAAATAACGAAAGGGTGATTAGTTTAACCTAGAGGTCAGAACCCCAAGAAAGGTGGGAGGCGAGGAGGCGCGGGGTGACGGGGAAGGCGGGGTTGATAGGTGGGTCTGTGCACTGATGGGGCTTCGTCTGAGAATGTTATGAAGGGCGGAATGAGGGAGGCTGTGGGGTTGGGAAACGGGGGAGCAGGGGAAGTAACGGGAAATGGGGCACGGAGAGGAAGGGGAGACAGGGAATGAGATGAAGGGGTTGAGAGGCGGGCCTATGGAGGAGAAAATGGCCGCTGAGGGGGCTTCGCCTGAGATGAGAACGTGGTGAAGAGCGGCGAGAGGGACGTGTGGGGCTGGGAGGGGTAGGAGAGGGAGGGGCAAGAGAGGGAGGGGCAAGAGAGGGAGGGGCAAGAGCGGGAGGGGCAGAGAGGTGAACGGAAAGCGAGGGTGAGGGACATGAACCTTGTAGGATGCCTTTGAGAAACTAGAAATAATACAAATCATAATAATAATAATGATAACAATATTAATAAATAGCCAAAATCAAAACATCTTCGAGAGTTTTCACAACACGCTGCTCCACACTCACTTGGTTGCCTTGCTGAGGTACTGCCGAACAGTCCCGGAATCCTCCGCGTTCAAGTGAATAGCGGGGACGTCTGTATAGGGTACACGGGAGGGCGCCGGGGAGGAAGGGGAGGCGGAGAGCAGCAGCACGGCAGCGGCGCCGAGCGCAGCCGTGGTGGTATCTTTCATTGCCTCCCGCACGTCCCTTGTCTTGAGGTTGCACACGAGCATTCGGCCTGAGAGCTTGGACTTGTCGAGGCTTGAGGCGAAGCACTCTCGGGCCTAGGGTGGGGCGAAGAGAGCGGAGGCAAGCGGGGGAAGGGGGAAAAGGAAAAGGGAAACATGGCAGGGGAGGTTAGCGGGCGCGGAGAGCAGCAGCATGGCAGCGGCGCCGAGAGCTGTGGTGGTGGAGTCCTTCATTGCCTCTGTGACGTCTCTGGTTTTGAGGTTGCACACGAGCATTCGCCCGGATAGCTTGGCCTTGTCGAGGCTTGAGGTGAAACACTCCCGGGCCTGGGGGGGGGGGGGAGGGCGGAATGGGGAAAGGGAGAATGAGAGAAAGGGTGTGGAGTAAGAGGAGGGGGTAAGGGGAGGGGAGAACGAAAGGCAAGATCTGATGGACGGCCTGTGGTGCCAAAGCCAAGCCCCCATGAGCCGCCATGAGCTGCAGTCTGTTCTCCCACCCGGCACCCACCTATTTTTTTGCACCCCACCTGGCAACCACCACCAGCGCTGCCAGCACCCACCACCAGCGCACGAGAGGCAGGTCCCTCGCGTTGCTTGCGCTCCCAAAGCCTGTGCCCGTGCCTGTGCCCTGTGCCTGTGCCTGTGCCCTGTGCCCTGTGCCCTGTGCGTGTGCCTGTGCCTGTGCCTGTGTCTGTGCCTGTGCATGTGCCTGTACCTGTGCCTGTGCCTGTGCTTGTGCTTGTGCTTGTGCCCTGTGCCTGCTAACCTGTGTCACCCTCCCACCACGCACCAGGCTGAGAGTCCCCAGCGGGTGAACAGCAGCAAAGGAGAGCACGAGAGGCAGGTCCCGCGCGTTGCCCCCGCTGCCAAAGCCCAGCCGCGTGAGCTGCACTCCGTTGCCCAGGGTTAGGTTGGCCTGATAGTCACGGCCCATGGTGCTGGTGGCATGCAGTGGGGGAGTGTGGGGGAAGGGGGGGAAAGAAAGCAAGAGGGAAATTGATGAAAGCCCAGCCCTTCGAGCTGCAGTCCGTTGCCCAGGGTTAGGTTGGCCTGATAGTCACGGCCGATGGTGCTGGTGGGGTGAAGGCAGGGGAATGTGTGGGAAAGGAAAGGGCGGGGGAACGGGGGAGGGGAGTTGAGTGGACGATCGATGGAAGCTCTGCCCTGTGAGGTGTCTTGTGAGGTTCCCTGTGAGGTGCCCTGTGAGGTGCCTTGTGAGGTGCCCTGTGAGGTGCCTTGTGAGGTGCCCTATGAGGTGCCCTGTGAGGTGCCCTGTGAGGTGCCTTGTGAGGTGCCCTGTGAGGTGCCCTGTGAGGTGCCCTCTGAGGTGCCCTGTGAGGTGCCCTGTGCGGTGCCCTGTGAGGTGCCCTGTGAGGTGCCCTGTGAGGTGCCCTGTGAGGTGCCCTGTGAGGTGCACTCGTTTGCCCTGTGAGGTGCACTCGTTTGCCTAGTGTGATGTTGGCTTGATACTCACGCCCGATGGTGCTGGTGGCATGGGGGTGGAAGTGTGGGGATAGTGGGGAACAAAGTCAAGAGGGGATTGATGCAAGCCCAGCCCTGTGAGGTGCACGTTGTTGCCCAGGCATAAGTTGGCTGGTACTCACAACCAATGGTGCTGGTGGGGTGAGGGGAGGAGAGGTGGACGCGCTGTGCTGCTGAGAGTGCCGAGCAGCGAGCAGCAACAGTCACTTTCAGTCAACCTGAGTCGATCAAGTCAACCCGAGCCTCACCTGGCCCGCACAAGGAGGTAGAAGGGCGCATTGTTGCTGAGAGTGTGCAGGAGAAGCGAAAAGCAACACCCTCAAGTCAAGTCAAGTCAAGTCTGCAGAGATAACTGCAGCAACGGGAGCTTAGAGTACGGGCTAGGCACGTGTGCTCGTGTGATCTCTGCGTTCGTTAGTCCTTAGTCGTTTTCCTTGTGCACACACTACTTGCTAGTTCACGGGGAAAATTGGCAAGAGTTTCACTAGGAAAAGTTCAGAACAATGGTGCAATGAAGTTGGCAATGCAAGACTACATCAGAGCAAGCATTCAGGTCGGCCAACTGCCAGCGCAGCTTGGTCGACCGCGTTCCAGCACGACTTCGTCGACCGCGCTCCAGCAAGGCAAGGTCGACGGCGTGCCAACGTCGCAGGTTGACGGCGTGACAGCGTTGCTCACGCAGGACAGCAGTGCACCCTGCTTCGCAGTTGTGCGCAGATGATTGGCGCGCAGAGTCTTGTCACCTGCACAGCGCACACACCACGTCAACCTCGAGCTGACGACTGCCTCTGATCCGCCACGACGACCTCGGGATACCACCACCGAGGTCGGGCTCGCCAACTTCGCCTGGGCGACCGTCGCACTCCTCCGCAGCACTTCGTCACCCAGGTAACCTGGTCGACCAGGCAACCACGTCGACCAGCAGCTCCCGTACGTGCCCGTCGACCTCCCAAGTCGACGACCACCTCCATGTCGACCTCACCAGGTCGACGACACCATCGGTCGACCTCCTCCAGGTCGACATCCCCTCTGGTCGACCAGCTCCACGTCGACGAGCACTCCTGGTCGACCTGCTCCTCGTCGACCAGCACAGTCGTCGGCCGACCACCCACGTCGGCCACCCGAAGCTGGCGTCACGAAGTTGACGCCCCGCTACTCGACGCCCAGCTGCTCGGCGTCCTGAGTCGAGGTCGACGTCGGCCCCTCCTTCGTCGACCACCAGGTCCAGTCGACCACTAACAGGTCGACCAGCAGTCCTTTAGCCGACTGCCGAAGTCGGCTTCCCCAAGTTGACGTCACCAAGTTGACGTCCTCCGCAGGTCGACACCCAAGTCGACCTCCCTGAAGTCGGCGCCACCCTGAAGTCGGCGCCCCTGCAGTGGTCCCCCGTGCAGGTCGACCTCCTCGTCGACCAGCTCACCCACTGCTACAGGTCGGCTGCTCCCCTCACACCCGACCACGAAGTCGGCTCCGCCCAAGCGAGGACGGGGCCAATACACAACTCCCGTTGACACTCCTCTGCCGCGTTCACGCTTGGTCCCCCAAGTCCACTCGGCAGTACTCCTCAGAGAATAGCTCGTCGACGTGCACCCAACACACAGCACGTCGTCCACCGCACCAGCCATGCAAGAGGGCATGTCACCTACTGCTGCACGTCGTTGTCGCCGTCGCTCACGTCGGCCAAGCGCACCTGGCCGATTGCGACGGAGCACCGGTTGAAGGCCGGATAGTGCAGCGCCTCTCAGAATCCCAACCACTAGACCATTGGGATAAAAGGGCTTGTTTCAGTAGCGGGTCAGTGCGCCCATAACCCCCCAGGCAATCGTGCCTGTAACCCTTCCCTAGGATCGATCGGGGATCACCAGTGGACCTCTGACACCCCCCCGCACTGGGATGCCCGAAGTGCATACACCGGGATTCGAACCCGAGACCTTCGCTCTGGATACCATCTCAGAATCCCAACCACTAGACCATTGGGATAAAAGGGCTTGTTTCAGTAGCGGGTCAGTGCGCCCATAACCCCCCAGGCAATCGTGCCTGTAACCCTTCCCTAGGATCGATCGGGGATCACCAGTGGACCTCTGACAGCGCCTTCGTCAGGAAGTCGGCCGGCTGCTCAGCGGTTGGGATGTACTGCAGCGAGAACTTCCCGCGCTTCACCATGTGCTGCAGCCAGGCCTGTCGCCGCTCCATGTGCTTGAGGTTGCCCGTCAACCCCATGCCCTCGACGACTTTGATGGCCGACTTGTTGTCAACCCAAAGGACGGTCGGATTCCCGGCATCCAGCTGTCGGAACTCTGCAAGGAGGAAGCGAAGTCGGCGTCCTTCCTTGCCGGCTTCGGTGGCTGCCACGTACTCCGACTCAGTCGATGACAACGTCGCACACTTGATGCGCTGGCTCGACCAGGAGACTGCAGCCCCTCCGTAGACGAACACGTAGCCACCCGTGCTCGTCCTGTTCTGTTTATCACCAGCGTCGTCGGCATCCACGTAGCCGAGCAGCTCTTGTGACTCAGGTCCACCGCCGAACTCCAGGGCAGTGTCGCGCGTATTGGCAAGGTAGGCGAGGCAGCGGTCGACCTCGCGCCAGTGCTGGTCGCTCCTCACCGTGAGGCCGCTCCCCAGCTTGCTGCAGGCGAAGGCGATGTCCGGCCTCGTCGTCGTCGCCGCGAACTGCAGCGAGCCGACCTTGTGCCGGTACTCCTCTTCCTGCCGCTCCTGTGCCTCCTCGTCATCGAACGTGAGCTCGGCGTAGGCATCGACCGAGACCGGCGTCTTCGGGGTGCGCCCGGTCTCCTCCTCGTGGAGGAAGCGCCTACGCAGCTTGTCGGCGTAGCCCTGCTGGTGCAGCCATAGCTTCCCCGCTGACCTGTCGCGCACGATCTCCAGCCCGAGATACTTCTGCACCGGCGAGATCTCACGCAGCTCGAAGGCAGCTTCCAGCAGCTCCTTCAGCTCCTTCACCATCGTGGTTCTGCCGCTGGCGGCAAGTAGGTCGTCGACGTAGACCAGCACCCAGCAGGCCACTCCATCCTCGCCAACCTTGAAGTAGAGAGCCTCGTCGACCTGGCTCTTCTTCCACCCGGCGCCGACCAGCGCGTCATTGAGCGCCAAGTACCATAGCAGCGGCGACTGCTTTAGCCCGTATAGGCTCTTCAGCAGCTTGCACACCCGGCCGGTCCCGTCGTTGAAGTAGTCCGGCTGGGACATGTAGAGCACCCTGTCGAGCTTGCTCTGCAAGAAGGCGTTCTTGATGTCGAGCTGCATCAGGTTGAGGTTGCGGACGGCGACGATGCTGAGGAAGATCCTCAGTGTGACGTAGCTGCCCTCCGGCGCGAACGTCTCGTCGTAGTCGGCGCCGTACACCTGCGTGAAGCCCTTCACAACCAGCCTCGCCTTCTCGCGCTCGACGGTGTCGTCGACGTGGTACTTCGTCGTTAACACCCACCGGTTCTTCATGACGTTCACTCCCGGCGGACGTTCGACCAACTCCCACGTTCCCATGTTGAGGAGGCTGCGAATCTCCTCCTCCATGGCGGCCTTCACCGCCGGGCCCTTCCAGCTCGCCAACGCCTCCTTCACCGTCATCGTCGAGATGTCCCAACGGTGCTCGGGGTCGGCTAGCATGTCGGGGTCGAGCTCCGGAAACTCCTCATCCTCCTCGGCGTCATCGTACAGCAGGTCGTCGTCATCGTCCACGTCATACACCGTGGTGAAGGCAGCGGGGACGAAGAAGTCGGGCGGCCTCCGAAGTCGGCCTGAACGCCGTGGTCCTGGCTGGACCTCCTCGGCGTCCCCTCCATCGTTACTGTTGTCGCTGCCCTCGGCGTCCTGCTACTCCTCAGCCGGCGTCCCAGCCGACTTCTCCCTTATGGTCGGCTCCCCTGCCGACTGCCCGGTTGCCGACTGCTCCTTGGTCGGCGTCACTGCTGCCTGCTCCTTTGTCGGCCGCTGGTCCTCGACCTGCTTCTCGACCTGCTCCTCCCCTGTCGACGTCGACTGCAATCCCACGTTGACCTGCCGCTCGTCACGTCGGCCACCGGCGATGCACTTGGACGAAGGCGACGTCCCACTACTCCCCTCATCGCCGGAGGCCGACACCGAGGTCAGTCCACGCAGGTCGGCCACGAGGGGAGGGGTAGGGGTCGGAGGGGGAGGGGTAGGGGGGCGGACGTCCTCGACGTCCGTAATAGCAAGCTCACCGACCTCGGCAAGCAGTGGCAGCGTCGCCGACGAGGTGTCAGAGGGCGGGGTGGGCGACGAGCGGCCGGACACCGACCCGTACTTCGTCTTCCATTCGGCCAGAGACAGCTCCTCGTAGAACACCACATCCGACGTGGTGACCACCCGGTCGGCGTCGACGTCGAGGAGCTCCCAGCCCTTGCTCGCCGCCGACACGCCAAGGTGCAGGCCCCACCTGGCCTTCGGCTGCAGCTTCCCACCACGCTGCTG